TGACACCCATCCACTTCACCATTGTTTCAGTTTTAGTCACTCAGGTTTTAGATTATATGTTCCACGTATTCGACACAACAGATACAGGGACTCATTTGTAATTAACGCAATACGTATCTTCAATCAAATGCCAAACGAAAATGAGTGATTTTAATTAGCTTGCAATGCGAATTTTACATTTTAAAATGTTTTAAATGAATCTGATTATTAATTATTTTAAATTGTTAGAAAACTTTTCAAATTTTAGTCACTGTTCTCCTTCTGGTGTATTTTAATGTTTTTACAATGTTTTCTTGATGTTTCATGTTCTTTGCCAGTGGAAAAAGAATTTCCATTTTACCTGTGTTTTAATGGACAAATAAAGTTTGATTTTTGATTTGATTAGAAAGCATTGCCATCGTATTTGGGTTTTTTTTACTAGATTTAAAGTGAGTGAGTTTCATACCCAAAATGCTCTATTTTTTTCACACACCTGAAGAGGAGTTTAGGTGAGTGATGGTGTGGTCCTTATACCAAAATTGTTTAATTCTGATGGATAATTTTTTTAAGGCACATATTTTTAGAAATATAGTAGTAGTAGTAATAGATACTTGGTAAGGTGTTTGTTGGTAGAGAATATATTTTCTGTGTTACATCTGTTTAAAAGTTTAAATTATTGTATTGGAAATGTCGTTTAATAATTGTTTTCATGACAGGATTTGAACCCATAATCCTGGGATAGCAAAGCAAGTATCTTTCTACCAAGATTTCCAGCTTCATTAATTATTTACTATTAGTGATGATAATAATAATTTTAGAGTTGATTTTGATGTCATTTGCTGTGAACAATTTAATGTGGCTAAGATTTAATTTTTAGCATGTGCATTCTTTGTGTGAGGTTTTATTAGCAACAAGCAAAAAACATTTATCATAGATATGAAGAAGCAAATTCTAGACCTGATTTCTAACTAGCAGTTAATTTAGATTAACTATACCCTTTCATTACCATTATTATTATCATTATTGTCATATAATTAACATATTTGTTAAATCCTTTACAACTTATTTCTAGTGAGTCCAATGATGTTAAAGAAACAAACAGGTAAGTGTCATGAATTCCTACTTAATGTATTTCGGGCGGTAAAGAAATGAATAGGAATCCTCTTTGACATATAAAATATAAACACAGCTCACAATGTTGTATTACACAACTCTCAAATAAACTTTTATTCTGTATCAACTCCAACAAGAATCCGGTATCAAACATTCACATAAAAAAGAGCTTTCCGAAAGACCAAGCTCTCACCCTATATACATTAGCCCTAGAACTCCAGAGCATTCAAGAGCATTCTATATTGCCTAAGTTCCTCATTGGTCACCTTACATCATAATTAACCGATAGGCTTATTGCCTCTACAGTACCTAATATTCCAGAAACTTCCAAATATTACTCTTGGATTCTACATGGTATAGTGTGTTCCTATAATTACCAATGTGGTTTGCACTTGTTTGTATGGTCAAATATATAAATATTTATTTACAAAAACATGCATTAAATAGATTCTTATTTTTAAATGAGTATTAAAGGATATATTATTTTAATATTATTACTATTTTTTTTTTTTTTTTTTTTTTAACAATATTATATTAATGTTTTCAGTAACAGATTGTTTATTCCCAAAATTTATCATAATAATTTAAATTATTTATTTTGTTGAATAGTGGTTTGAAAGACAAGGCCTGTAGCCATTGTGTGATGGCAGGATGTGTGGCTGTAGATCTGAAGATTCTCTCCACAGCCATGTAATGCACAGTGACAGGTATGGTACCCCTCAACTTATCAAACATTTGACTCCACTTATGCATAGCGCCAAAGAAATGTGTGTGACATCAACTAGAAAAACAAAGTGAATGGTGGTTCGTTCTCATATCATCATACATAATTAATTTTGCCTTAACATAAAAAGCAATACAGAAATACAGGAAATACAGTAAAGCTGCAAGCCAGGTTTGGTGAAATGTTATAAAATAAATAACAGTCAAATGTCTTTCAAACCACATATTTAAGGGAAAGCAGTCTAATTTTAAACGAGGAACACAAGGAACTTGATTCCATTTATTGTTTGTTTTTATCTTGTGTTCATAATTCTAATTTTATTATTCTTAAATGACAATAAAACTGCCAAAATTATATTTCTTAAATACCGAAATAATATAATGCAAAATATTTTGGTATAATGATAACGATGCATGTGTTACTGTTTAAAAGTAAACACTTTTCTGCTGTAGTTCTAAAGCAGCAGACAATCTGAGGTTGGTGGGATAGAAAAACAGAATTACAAGCCATGGAAACGTGCGGACAGCTACATGTAAGTTATCTTGAAGTGAGTCATTCTTGTGTTTATGTTGTTGAAAAATTCACAGACAGAACCAAATATCCTGTGACTGGCTGTAATAACACAGCATGCTTATACTTCAGACATAGCCTGATACTGAATACATAATCAATACAATTATCATCAGTATTAATTATCCTCATCATCTTTTTATGGATTATATTCATCATTGATCATCATCATTAAAGCCAGGTTCCAGAAGAAAAAAAATATTGATATGTTGTACAACTGCTTTTTCTGAAACAAAAAGACTGTTTAACGAAAAACAGTGAATGGTTAAATGAGATACAGATTTTGAATATTTATAAACAGGAAAGGGAGGGAAGGTTTAAAATGGGTGGTTATACGCCCCTTATTGTATCTGAGAAGAAACAGTTGTACAGCATATCAAAACATTTTTTCCTTAAGGAGCCTGCCTTTAACATAATCATCCTCATCTTTATCATCATCATTATACATATAATCATTATCATCATTATTATTATCATTATCATCATTATGATTTTGTTTAATATCCTCAGTACAAGTCAGCAAATGTTTAATTAAATAGTTAAGCTCTGTCCAGATTGTCGAAAAAATAATCTGTTGTCATGATGTGATGATGATGATAATAATAATAATAATAATAATAATAAATAACATAATCATCATTTTATACCAGTAACATTATTATCATTTTTTTTTTTTATTTAACGTCATATCAGCAAATGTTTAATTAAATGGTTAGATTATTAATAATACAAATAAAATGCTAGGATTGGATTTATTCGAAAGTCTAGAAGAAGTGTTATTTCCAGTGGGGTCCTTCTGGTGGTGGTGGTGATTGGACAGTACACCGGGAGACAATCCCCTACTCTTTTCCGAAGAGTGTACTGTGTTCTTTAACGTGCACATGGGCCATAAATGCACATGGGACCAACGGCTTAAACGTCTCATCCGAAAGACGCTATTGTAACTTGTATTTCAGCCCTCTAGCTGAAACACAAGGAGAGGCAGCGATGGGAATTGAACCGGGGACCTAGAGATCTCCACGGTTCAGCGCACACACAGTGGCTACCACCAGATTAGCCGACTGAGCTAAGCTGCTCTCCTAAGCTTATATAGCGCCAAATCCAAATCAGTGGTCAAAGACGCTGTGCACTCATCTTGATTAATTATGATTTAATTATTTTTTAATTAGATGCTCGGTATTCAACGTCAGTGATGCAAGACTATGACCATCATCGGAAGAGTAGCAGTCCTGTAATGATCCAAATGGGCAAAACTTGGCTGGCTGGTGGGTCATGACCTTCACTACATAACTAAAATGACAAATCAAATGAAGCCTAGTCACACACCGTGTTGGAAGTAATGTTTACAAGGGCACCCTCAGTCATCAAAGTCTGTTACAGAAAGGTAAATGTCTTTTCAAGTCTTTTTAAATTGCACAGATGAAAAATTTGAAAAAGTAATGTAATCATTTAAAACGACAAAAAATGTGGTTTAACAACATAGTACGGTACTGTATATTTTATAGCTAGTATAAAAATGTGTTGAATTGTCTTTTTTTCACAGAAAGCAGAAGAAAATTAGAAACATTAATTTAGCTCGTCCATGACTAGATTCGAACATGTTGCTAATAAGTGTAAAATATTTTTCTAGACATACTGCGTGTGTTATACTGACAAATTGTATTTTTTTTTTTAAGTGTTAATGGGCAATAATGTATTGTTTAATTGTAAAACTCAATGCTTAAGGAAATGAAAGTCAGTATAATACACGGCCTTTCCCTTTAATGCCCTCTCCAATTAAATACCAATTTGTTGAGACCAGTATATAGCACACTGAAAATTGATCGTGTGTTGTCTAAGTAGATTAATGTGATTGGCTACTACAAACTCTACTTCATTATTCTTAGCCTTTCCTATGTATTATTATTGACTGTGTTAAAACTAAACTTTCTAAAAGCTAATTTTAATATTCTTCATGATGCCATAGTCAGTCTCATCTAGTTCTTCACAGTGTACTAATAAATTAATGAAAATTATAATTAAATAGATTGATTGGTGATAGAATATCCAGACATTCAGCAAATGTCATGAGGCAAAAGTTCCATGTGAGAGAAAAAAATAACAGTGTAGATAAAATTAAAAAAAACATAGTAAACATGTCACCAACATAATTGGAATAAAACATCAACATTTTCAAAAATTAGGTGTTAAAATGTAACACACACAAGGTTGTACAAAATCCTGAAATTTACATCACACAAATGCTCTGTAATTAATTCTTATAATTGATATAAAGAAAACAAACACCTGATTTGTAACTTTTTTCTCATTTTGGTGTGGCAAGGTTATTACGGTAAATAAATTACCAGAGCCACGAAGTAATTATATTCCAAATATTCAGTTTATTTCCAAAACATATTCATTTTCATATGGAGTACAGTATAGAGTAATATTACAAAAGTACTTTTAAATCAAAAAGATATATGTCAACATTTTGTAACATATTGTCAGGGGCGGATCCAGTAGAGAACATGGTGGCACGGGGCGTTTGGCCACTAAATTTTATAAATTTCAATGCAAATCAATGTTGATTTAAGTATATAGCACACTGAAAATTGATCGTGTGTTGTCTAAGTAGATTAATGTGATTGGCTACTACAAACTCTACTTCATTATTCTCAGCCTTTCCTATGTATTATTATTGACTGTGTTAAAAACTATACTTTCTAAAAGCTAATTTTAATATTCTTCATGATGCCATAGTCAGCCTCATTAATGGTTTAACACTAGTTGATTATTTCAAAATGGCTTGGCCGTGTTCACTTGTCCTTTTCAGTTACTGTAACAATAAAAAGCAAAATATGGTATCTAGTTCTTCACAGTGTGCCACTCAATTATCTATTCTGAAACTGTTTTGCCCCTTCCCCTCCCCTCCGATTTAAAAATATTCTGGATCTGTCCCAGATAGATGTGTAAAATACAAGGTTGAAATGTATAAGTAGTAGCAACTGTGGTGAGATCTGATATTATTATTTACATACCGCATACATAGATTGAGTCTAGCATCTGATTCAAAAGCGGGCCATAACTTTAACCATCACACCTATGATATAGCTAATGATCGTTCATAAATTTCCAGGTAAAAAAAGTACTCACGTTACTATCACGTTAAATGATGACTTTTGCTCTGTCACAATGTAATCTCTAGGCCTTACCTATATACTGTTGCTATGAAAATTACTACAAGCACAGATAGTAAAAGGGATGTGACCTCTACAACAGTGAGGGAGATTGGCCCTCTGATCGCCTAGGCATACTTGGCATGTACTCTTTTCAACACATTTGTAGGCTTCGTAGAATCTATTGTAGTGACGACCCCCGTACGTTCGTATCCCCGATCTACGCAGGAGGACATGACCTCAAGGTCAGCTCATCTGCATAACCCACAGCCGGGTGTGCTGCACAGCCGACCAGGGGTACCTGGTGAGATTAGTCACTCGTACACTGGACTTAATGCAAGACGCATCTCAGCTAACGCTATAGGATTGGTTTATGGTGTATCTGGTGTCCGGGTCTTTGCTACCATTGGAGTACTGTTGTGTTTGGGTATATATAATTGGAGTACTATCGCCAAGGAATACATCCTATTGGATAAAGGTAAGCTCCACTCGGTACCTTTTATATCACGGTATATATATAGGCGATAATTACTGCACTATGTATGTGGTGGGCCTATATAAAACAGATGCTAACTGCTATAGATTCGGGGAACGGTGAAATCTATAGCCCCTTGGTGATATGAAGACAATATCCTACTAAATTACCGAGGGCCACCGTAGCCTATTTTCCCTAGGGTCTTCCCGAGGACAAAACATATTTGACATTAGATTCTTTCTAAAAACCTAATTATTTGTACAAAAATTTAATAAGTTATGTGGGCTTTGTTTCAATTTTTGGGGTTGGAAGATTTTATTCTTAAAATTACTTTTTATAATACTAAATTGTATCATTAATAGGGTAGGGCATATTTACCAACCTGTCATTTGGAGTCAATTTTTTCGTCGGGGCCATTTTTTCCTGCCCAATTTAACCATACACCATTAAGCAACTTAATTTATTTTTTTCCTTAAACTTTCATGATGCCTCCAACGAAGAAATACAGTGTTTTTCAAGTTTTATTGATCATTTTTACTTAACATTTGTAAGACCCTATTTTGTTAAAAATTTTAAAACTTGTTTTTTTTTTTTAATACTGATGAGAAATACTGACAAAGAAAAAAGATTTTTTGTATATATATATATATATATATATATATATATATCCCAGCTTTGCAAACTATATCCCCATTCCACTGCAACCCCTAGTATGCCTAGTCATAATATAAGGTATAAGGGAGTATAAAACTTACCATCCTCGCAATCATCAAAGGGTTGGATGACATCTCTAATGTATTTTTCTTCCAATACGGTATTGAACTCCTTTCCCCATCCTGTAAACGAGACTTTGGAACGTCGTTTAATTTTTTTAATAGTTTGGAGGATTTCCACTGTCTCAGTATTGCATCAAATGCTTGAATTGTGGCCTTTCATTTTAAATAACAGTTGCTATTTGTTTGCTCTTTATAGATCCATGACAAAAAATACAGTGAAGAAAAAAAAAAACTCCTTGTCCAGTCAGGTCATTATGGCATGTGCATAAAAAAGCCCACAGCTCCTCAATAGTAGGCCAAGTATTGTAACAAGAATTTGCCATACATCAAAATACTTATTGAGTATAACACTTTACAGAATATAAACAACATGAGAGCAGCTTTATAGTCAGCTAAATTTGTAGTATCCACTGTGTGTACTGAACCATAAAAATCTCATGGTCCCAGGTTCAATTCCCATCTGCTCTCTGGGTCATTTAGTTGGAGGGCTGAAATGCAACTTACGACAATGCACCATCTTTTGTATATTGGTCCTGTCTGCATTTTATGGCCCATGTGCTCACCTTCATAAAGTAGTAGTGATTGTCTTCCAGTGTACTTCCCAATCACCATTAGAAGGACCCCACTGGAATAGGTCTTCAGATTTTGTAGGTTATCCTTGGTGTTTACCTAAATAAATTCATCCATCTGTCCATGCCAGGTTTTGACCTTGCATTCTACTATGCATTTTGCAAATTGCAACACTTTCAGTAAAAGTGTTGTGTTTAACAACATTATGCTGATTTGACCACAGACACCAATAAAAAATCATTGACAAACTATTTTGATCAGAAGTTTAGTGTTTGTTTAAAACATATAAGCAACAAGTAGAATACTCAACTATGTTTTACCATAATTATAAATTATATTGAACAAATTTCTACATTACACAACTTTTTGAAGGACGATTGTATCATAATTATACTGTAAATTATATTACAATAAATATTTAACAGGACTGTATTATATATACAAATTTTATGATTATTTTTCAGATTGTCATTTAGTTTCATCTCCTGCTTCATCAATGTACACCTTGAATGATGCCTGTTCATGGTACGAGCAAAGTTGTTTACACCAAGCTCCCCAACACAACATCACTACTCAACGAGTGACAACATCTCCATCCTATCAAGGCCAAGCCCGATCCCCCATCACATTTCAATATGACAGTAAAGTAAAAGTTTTAGGTCAATAATTTCTTTTTTATTTCTAATTTTTACAGTGGCCCTATTTATTGTCATTTTTATTGCAGGAAATTTTGTACACATAAACTAAAGGTGGTTTCCAAAAAACGGTCATTGCCCTTTTTTTAAGTTGGACCCCAGGGTTCCCCACACACTTACAAAACAAAACAGGAGTTTCAGCAAAGACTGTACATTACTGCCATTGCCACTAGTAGGGCACGGCATTACAAATAAACATTCTAATTATTAAAAAATTTCTATCTTATTAGCTCTTCAAAAAAAAAACCCAATGTAATAACTTGTGCCTGTCCCGTTTTTAAGCGTGGATGAATGCGCGGACAGTGAGCAGTTGATGTTGTTTATTGTTGGTTGTTTTATTGTTTTTTATTTGTATGTTGTTGGGAGAGATTTATTTTTCTCAATAGTAATGCTTTAATGAGTTTTGAAAAGTTCTTGTAAATTTTACCTTATACTTTTAAAATTTAAACAGATTAAATTTTTGTCTTAATATACGATCATGGCCTAAAAAGGAAGAATTCAAAAAATCTACAATTGCAAATTCGATAACTAATGATGTTTTGGCCCTGTTGTAGTTTACCTAAATACTTTTCATTTCTTTTTTGTAGTTTACTGTGAGAATTTCATCAGTTCTTTTATGCTTTGAATTTGTATGTGCGTGTTCCATCGATATAAAGTGTTTGATTATTAATAATAATTATTGTTGTGTATTTTACAAAATAATTTTTTTCGATAGTCCAAGTCAGTCATAAGTAACGCTTGCACTTCAAATCAGATGTTTTTAAAATCAATTTTTAGCCCACTCTCTGAGAGAGAGGGCTTACGATGATTTTGAGCGAATTTTGAAGTCATTTGATTTTCTATCTCTTCCTTCGTTTGTGACGCGATTAGGCCGATCTTGCAATGATATGGAAGAGAAGGCTTGGGGAATTTAAAGTATGAAGAGTTTTTGCGAAAATGTTGTCGGGAAATATGTGATATTATATGTTTTTATATCATATCTCTTAACACTAAGATGGGTTTCCTATGAAAGCGTGTTCGTCATTGATCAGATTGCAAATCGGCTGTATATTCCACATTGTGTTTATCAACCAATCACGGCCTGGAATGGTTAAGCTTTGCGGCTAATAAATTCGTCTGCACGAGTCTAGTTGGTAGCGAAGAATGTACAGCCGTTTTGTGGTGCTTGCAAGGGTGGGTGGTCTCTCCTCTGAGAGATAAACAATGTACTGTAATGCAGGCTGGCCTAGAGGAAGACGAACTATAGGCTGGCTGAATGTATGTAAAAATGGCCCCGGTAAAAATGACCCCAGTAAAAATGGCCCCAAATGACAAGTAGGTTAAATGGCCCCAATGAAACAAATTATTAGTAAAAATTAGTAATAGAAATGATATTTTTTTTTTAAATCTTCAAATATTTAAATACTGTAATAAGCAAGAAGTGAATCAATAACAAATACAGATACACAACAGATGCAAATAATGTACTGAGAGATTATCAGAAAACAATGGCCACTGAACATTTCTTGATAGTTGAAATAAGTTTTAAAAACGTTATTCCACTAACAAAGTAGAGGAATGACATACATACAATACTACCAAAATATACAACTCATAGATAGCCACAAAATTCACTTTTGTTAAGTATCAAATGAAATAACTTTACATGTTATATAAACAGTGCAAATAAAGCATGTGGATCAATTGTGTGTTTGAATGACAAGTTCATGTATGGGAAAAGGGAGAGGCTTACTTTATTTCAATAAATGTTCTGCTTGGAGTTATTCAACGAAGTATTTGTTAATCAAATATTGTTTTTAAAGTAAACTGAATAATTAGGAATACATTTATTTAAGCTTATTTAATTGCATATTTGGTTTATATATATATATATATATATATATATATATATATATATATATATATACAGTATATATAC